CCAAGTGGGTTATGAGGTGGTTTGATTATTCACACTCGTATTGAGATCCCGTATGGTTTGTGGTATTATGTAAGCAGGATGGCTCTCGAGATATAGGTCATATATCGCACCTTAGTGGTGCTTGAGTTTCGTAGCGCGTGACACTACCCGTCTCCCCAGGATTTGTATTATGTACTTGGCATGCTTATGGTTGATATTCGGGCATTTCATGTGTATAAGCATTATGGAGATTATTATGTGTGGATCGGATGGCACGTCGCCACAGGTATATGGTTGGATCGGGTGGCACGTTGCCACGAATATGTTGATTGGATCGGGTGGCACACCGCCACAGGTATCATGGTTGGATCGGGTTGCACGCCGCAACGGTATCATGTGTGGATCGGGTTGTACGCCGTAACAGTGTGTTATTGAGTACAGTTTTCCACATTTATTATTGCGCGTTTTGCTTCCCATTTCCTGAGGAAAGTTCATAACATCTTATCAGTAGTTTAACTTAGTTGCGTGGGTTGAGTAGTTCTTTCCAGAGTTTGCTTTCCTTATGTACCACATTCGAGTTTATGGATTGTTGGCACATTGTGTCATCCTATGAGACTTTTGGCAGTGTCTGAGGTGGCTTATTGCCTGAGAAGCTTGTACTGGGTGAGACGAGATTTTTGGACCTGGGATCAGTGCGATCAGATTTATATGAAGCATATTAAAGAGTAAATATTGTTATTCAGTCCATAATGAGGTAATGGTTCTTGTCGGGAGGAGAAACTCCATAAATTGTGATTCGGCAGGTGGTTATGAGTTCTACACATCTTCTCTGTAGTGGTAGTATTGCGAGAGTTAAAGCAAGGCTTAATTGGTCATGAGGTACACCGCGGGCTTCGGGTCAGTGGAAATTTTAGTTATTGTGCCTTGGAAAGATTGCCTTAGGCAAATGAGTTATGCGGTGCATGGTAAGAATTCAGTAAGGGTATACAATCATATGTTGGTACATCATGTAGTGATGGATACGGTGTTCGTATGTTGGAAACAGACTTGGTGGAGAATTTTCGATGTTGGAATTTAGCTCAAGGTTTATTTGACTAGATAAAAGGGAGGATTTTTAGGTTTGCTCGAGCAAATATGCTCAACTAGGTTGTGGTAGCACGGGTAGGTGCACGAGGTGTTAAACATCGATTTTAGACAACTCCAAAGCAGTTCTTAGCACGTTTGCGGACGAACGTATGTTTAAGTGGGAGAGAATATAATGACCCGACCGGTCGTTTTGAGCTCTAGCGCATCATTCAGTGGTTTGAGACCCTGAGTAGCTTCACTTCAGGTATTATGACTTGTACGCGTGGTCGGAATTTAATTTCGGGAAGTTCAGAGTTAATTTAGAAAGAAAATTCTAATTTCGGAAGCTTTAAGTTAGAGAAATTGACTAAAGGGTGATTTGTGAGTAAACGATCTCAGCATCGGGATTTGAAGGTTCCAATAGGCTCGTATAATGATTTTGGACTTAGGCATATGTCCGGATCGGGTTTTAGATGATCCGGGAATGTTTCGGCTCATATTATGGAAGTTGGCATTTTGGAAGGATTTCATAAATTTGGGTTGGAGTGCATTTCAATGCTATCGATGTCCGTTTGGGATTTCGAGTCTGGGAATAGCTCCGTAAGGCGATTCAGGTATTGGGAGAGTGTCCGGATGTGGATTTGGAGGTCCGTAGGTCATTTTGGGGTCATTTGGCGAAAGTTAGAAATTTGAAGGTTTTTAAGAAATTTGACCGGGAGTGGACCTTTTGATATCGGGGTCCGAAATGTCAAATGTGACTTGTGTGCAAAATTTGAGGTCAATCGGACGTGATTTGATAGGTTTCGGCATCGATTGTAGAAGTTTGAAGTTTCAAAGTTCATTAAGCTTGAATTGGGGTGCGATTCATGATTTTGATATTGTTTGATGTGATTTGAGGCCTCGATCAGGTCCTTGTTATGTTATTGGACTGATTGGTGTGATTGGACGGGGTCCCGGGGACCTCGGGTGAGTTTCTGATGCTTAACAGATCGATTTTTAGACTAAGGAAAATGCTAAGGCAGTTGGTATATGGTGTAACCACACCAGCGAGGTTTTGGCCGTAGGTGCAGAGCTGTAGAAATGGCCAAGAGTGTCACAGAAGCGGTTCTGGCTAGGGAAGGCTGGGACCGCAGATGCGGTTAAGTTCCGCAAAAGTGGGACCGCACCTGCGCACGGGGAGCTGCAGAAGCAGAGGCGCAGAAGCGGGAACTGCACCTGCGATGGAATTTATGCAGGTGCGGAGCAGCAGAAGCGGCTATTGCACCGCAGATGCGAGGATCGCTGGGCAATGAGGCTTTTATAAAACGGGGTTTTGGCTTATTTTCACTTCCTTTGGTCCATGGGAGCCGATTTTGGAGCACTTTTGGAGTGCCATCTTCATCAACTATAACATGGTAAGTGATTTTTTCACATTGTGAGTTAAATATATGGTTTTTACATGGATTCAAGAATGAAATTTTGTAGAAATTTTGGATTTTGAAGAAAAACCTAGAAATTGGTATTCTTGAATTTTGATCACGAATTTGGGCATGAAATTGAGAGTAAATTATATATTTGAGTTCGTAGTTCTATGGGTAGTGTTTGTCTTCAAACATTTTCGGAATTCAGGCACGTGGGCCCGAGGGTTTGCGTTATCGACTTTTCGAGCGGAGTTGGAAATTGTTATAAATTGATTAATTATGAGTATTAAAGTATAATTTGGTTGGGTTGCATCTTATTTGACTACTTTTGGATTGGCGGTCACCAGTTCGAGGTGTTAGGGTGGTGTTGGAGCCGGTTTTGGAACGTCGGAGTGAGGTAAGTTTCCTATCTAACTCTGTAAGGGAGAAACTACCCGTAGGTGGTATATTTGATGTGTACAACTTGTTGCGGGGACTACGTACGCACGAGGTGACGATAGTCCGTACGTAGTTAGATTCATGTTATTTTCCGGGTAGACTTAGGTTCACACCATGTTGTACTTGTACTATAGAGATTATCCTTGCTTGCTTAATTATTTTACATTTCTACTTGAGACTAGACTTGCTATTGTAGAGACTTCATGATTTCACGATTTATTACCGAATAACTTTACTCCTCATACGGCATGTTTCCGTGATATATATACTTCATTGAAAGGTTTTTGTTAAAGAAATTACAACTCATACGTTTATTCGTGAGTGGGGTCAAGGACCCATCAAAGCTTCTTATTCTAATGGGATCGGGCCGTTCGCCTCGCCAGGATTATGTATTTCACTCTTATGGGATCAGGCGGTTCGTCTCGGCAGAAATTTGTGTTTCACTCTTATGGGATCGGGCCGTTCGCCTCGGCAGGATTTATGTACCACACTCTCATGGGAGCGGGTCGTTCGCCTCGGCAGTTTAATAGATGTATCTATGGTTCGAGCCGTTCAACCCTCGGCAGTGCACAATTTAAATTTTTATGTTGGATCGGGTCGTACGCCTCAGCATTTCCTATATCATATCCTCATGGATTCATGCGTAATATTTGGCAAAAACCCAGTATATCTGTGAGTTTTCCCGATTTGAGTTATGACGATCTATCTGATGAGATCCACTATATATACACATATATATGCTCTAGTTGGGGAGGAATTTGCTAGTTAAGAGCTTGAGTTTATTGTAAGGAGGATAATTGTACCACATATTTACACTTATTTATTCCATTTATTTACGTTGTCTCGTATTTGCTCACCTCCTTACTGTACTTGATATTATTGGACCACTAGTGAGTGTTGATGTCGACCCCTCGTCACTATTTCTCCCGGGTTAGGCTAGATACTTACTGGGTACATGTTGATTACGTACGCATACTACACTTGCTGCACATTTTTGTGCAGGTACATATGTGACTAGTGGCCTTGTGAGAGCAGAGGCGTGCGTGCATGTGGGGACTTACGTGAGCTGCATTCCATATTACGACTCGCATCCAGCAGAGTCTCCTTCGGAGTTATTTGTATTTTTCCTGTCTAAGTTGTATTCCGGACAGATGTTATACTTTATTTTACTTCTTAGTTGATGCTCATGCACTTGTGACACCGAGTTTTGGGATGATTATGGGTTGTTCTGTATTGAAATTGTTAAGAATATTATTATTTACACTGTAAATTCCATCTTTTACTATTTAATCGAAGGAAAATATGATTTCAAAAATATTAAAAATGAGAACCAAATTAAGTATTTATTTTTGGCTTGCCTGACATCACTATCCGATGCCATTGCGGCCTTAATGAATTTTAGGTCGTGACAAAGGCGTTAAATATTATAGAAATGGCTTTTATGTGATTCCAATTTTATACATCCTACATGCAGTGCTTGTTGTTTCAGACTATCGAATTTGCAGATTGCAGGTATCATAAAACCTATAGAAATGATCTCTAAGTTATTTGTGCCATGGGGCAGTAAAAGCTATTAGGAAACTCGAAATTATTTGGGTTTGATCCTATAGACATCTTTTCTAGGCGAGTAACAGTATTCTATAGGCAGGATCTCTAATAGTTGGTATTTAAACACATATTCATCATGCATATCCCTATAGACATATTATCTAGGCGAGCAGTGTAATAAAAGCGACAAAAGCAATCGATTAATTAATTAATTAAAGACCTATAAACATGGCATCTAGATGAGCATTAGCAAAAACATGTATTATTGTGTCTTATGGGCATGCTATATAATAATTACATTACTAAGCAAACAATTATTGGCGTTTGGTTCCTTAAACCAATATGCTTTTGGATAATGCACGGGTATTAGACAAGTGAAGTGAAGTGTATGATTTCATATTGGCATGATTTCTATTAGTGTGGCACGTCAAACAAGCAGTAATCAAGGCAATTAAATCATGTGGACAGGTTTTTTACCCGTTCATGCAAGACTTAGGATAACCCAGCCCCATTTTTACTAATTTACCCATCATTCGCTATTATAGATTATTACATGCCCAAATAAAACAATTACAAACTTAATAGGGCGACTACATGCCCAAACACAACAATTACAGGTCCAGCACAGGTACAAAGTAACCCAGTAGTGCCCTTCTGGGCCTTCACCAGCCTTACTATTGCATATCGAACAGGCCCAATGCCAAAGCTCGCAAACATGTATGACCAATGCTCAGATCCAATAACACGCACGACACGATAAGTCAGGCCCCAAACATGAAGACAATTGTCTCGCTTACCCATTAACAAACAACAGGAACATGGGGACATAAAACATGTCATTCAAATAACTTAGAGTTCAGGCAAAGACACAGGGATTCCTATTATTGCAATCATCAGTAGAAAGATTTTCTAAGTATCACCATAGAGGTGATGTCTAACAGTTGGGAGGACACAGATGTACAAGGAACTTATAATAAGCACATAAGTAGGGCTTTCAAACTAGCAAATAAGTTCAAAGCATAAACTTCTTAAGATACACCTGATTAGTTATAGGAAACATGCATCCATAAAGCAAACAACTAAGCATGAGAGTTAAGAGCATGAATTGATTCTAAGGAGATTAATAGGTGACAATGACATGCTCATGAAACTCTCCTTGGGATAGATACACAACAACCTTCCCAAGAAGAACATAAAATGCAAGGCAGGACATAACTAAGAATTGTAGGCTAATTCAGGGCAAGTAGAAGTGCTACTAAGGAAACCTATTAAAGAAACTTAGGGTCAACAATATCACAAACTCAACATCACAACCAATCAGTAAACAAATACTTAATACAAGTTGATCACATATAGCAAGTTCGATTATGCACATTAAGGACTCCCTAGTCATTACTCAAGAAAGACTAATACTAGCAGATATGAGTCTACAAAACATGATGGTAGTAAAGCAGGCAATTATAATGAGGATTGGGGTTCACAAATGGTAAAATAGCATGCTTGTCTGAAGAGTTCAGAATTCATATAGACATGATCAAGTAGCACGTTATGCCCGAATGGCTTAGCATAAAGAAGTACAACCGAGCAAAGTTTGGGCATGAATAAGTATCCTAAGAGTTTTAATACAATAATTCAGAGCAAGGCATGAACATGGTCAAGCAACAAACATAGGAAACTCATGTGTGCATAAACATAGTAGATTGCGCATGTTCAAGATGATCAAAAATATACATAGTGAGCAGACGTCCAAGTATAGGATTTAGGCAAGTTTAGATGCCAGAGAATACATAACTATAGGCTAACTTCAAGGTAGATAGGATTGCAAACAAAGGTAACATACTATAGTCATATAGGTTCACAAATTCAAACAAAGATGGGTATTCAGGGCATTACTACAACTAAGAATAGAATTGCAAGAGTCAAGGTACTCACCAGTTGCAAATTAAACGAACAAGAAAATTAATTTCCAGCAGCAACTCAACTAGCAATAAACAGCAGGACTCCCAGAATCTCAATGCGTCGGAGTTCCCAAAGGTCTCGAATGAACCTCGAGTACTGCTCACATTGAAAAAGGAGCAACAATTAAATTTCGGTGGCCTTGGCTTCCAACCGGCCAAGGTCTCAAATTTCAGAATAGTAGAATGATTGAGAGTGGGAGAATAATAGTAGTAGCAGTAGTTATAGCAATAGTTGTTAAGTCTTCGAGGGGAAACGGGGAAGGGGGTTTATATAGTAGTAAAAAATTAACACACAAATAAGGAAATATAGACAATCAAACATAAACAAGGAAAGAAGAACATGCAAAATCAATTTAAAATAAGAATAGAAGAAGAAACCAGATAAACCATAGTTTGACAAGGGTTCGAAATTTGTCGTAGATCTTGGTGAATCGGACCCTCATAGCTTTGCCATGGATGTATACAGACGAAATACCGTCCAAATCTTGAAGAGTGAAGTCGATTTCCTTTGATTCGAAAACTGGTACTCGCCAAAAAAGGGGCAAGCACTAAGTAACACCATGGTCTTATAAGTAACAATGAGATAATACGTAAAAGGTAAGTAAATCACAGAAGAAATTCATGATTTGATCAGATTCAGAGAAGATTGAGGGGAGGCGGCTAAAGTTTCTGAAGAAGGGAGAAGGAGAGTGTTTAGGGGTGGTTGTCTTAGAGGAATGGGTGTTAGGGTTTGGGGTTGGGTAGTTTAAAGATGGGAGATGGCTTGTGGGTCGTTGATCTTTGAGGTCAACGACAGAGATAGAAGGAAAAAGTTGGGCGAGTTGTTTAAAACGGGTACCGACCGGGTTAACTAAAGGGATTGTTTGGTTTGGGCTGGGGGAATTGGGCTAAGGATTTTGGGAGTTTGGGCCATTAAATTGGTCCGGAATTTGGCCTATTTTTGGCCAGCTTTTAAAATACCCGAATTTAATTAAAAATAAATTATTAAAATATCTAATAAATGGTAAAAATATTATTTATGCTATGAAAAATGCTTGAAATAATAAATCAATATTATAAAAATATAAAATGCTATTTTTGCATAAATAATACAATAAACGCAATTATTTATACGATATAGGCTATTATTGTAAAAATTGTGTAAATAGTTCAAAATATAAATATAACTGTGTGAAATAAAATAAAATGTTATAAAACTTACATGTGGGTATAAATAATAAATTTTTGATGACTAAATCGCCCCAAAATAATTTGAAAGGATAATTACTAAATATTTGAACAATTTAAATGCAAGAAAAATAATTTTAAAGCTTTAAAAATTATAAAAAATTATAGAAACTACTTATATGACTCTTGTAAATTGGATAATAATGCAAAATAATATTTTGAAAGTATATATAATACTTTATAATATATAAGGGAAAATTTGAGTATCAACAGCTGCCCCTCTTTACCCGGGAATGATGAAAGAGTTATCGGGTAAAGAAAATGATGACCAATTTTGTCCGAATGGGCAAGGATAAGTTTTGTTTGAAATAATGGAGGTCGTACCCTGGTTCTTGAGTTACCTACATATCCCCGTGTGTAGTTCTGGATCCAACGACGAACGAAACCGATTGAGTTGTTATAAGAGTGGTCGCGTCTTTCGATAAAGGATCTCTTCGATAGGATAGTTTCGTGAGTAACAAATAATTTTAGGTGAATCTATGAATGTGAATTTGAATGTTACGAATATTCGAGATAAATATTTGGGCGGTTACGAAACAAAGAGTAATCAATTGTCGATCATTGGTTACGTTTGAGATAATCAAAGGATGTGAACATTGTGAACAGAATCCGGAGCGAGAATTGCTCCTATTTGTAGAATGGTTACCTCCCGAGTTACCTACAAAACTTAAAACACAATGCACGCGAGTATAAAGGGTTATTGTACATGAGAGTTATCTTTGGACGATGAGGATGATATCCTTCGACCATGACGTCCTGGGCCATGAAGAGTATAATAAGGGATTCACAGGCCATGAATTGGTGTCCTCGGGCCATGAGGATGGTGCCTCTAGACTATGACGCCTTTGAATAATGATATGTAGTTTTGAGAGATCCTCAGGCCATGGCATGATGTCTTCGGGCTATGAGGAAGATGCTTTCAGACTATGACGCCTTCGGACAATGTGGTGATATTTCAGCCCACGAAATGCAAAGATGTGGCGATATAAATCGTTTGATAGAGGGACCATGTAATTCTTAGTTATATGCGAGAGCGAGACAAGATAATGCTTAACCGTATGCCAGTGATGAGGGCAGTGCTTAGCCCAAGGTAGAGGAAGGCAACACTTAGCCTTATGCAATAATGGGGGCAGTGCTTAGCCCAAGGTAGAGGAAGGCAACACTTAGCCTTATGCAATAATGGGGGCAGTGCTTAGCCTCATGCAAATGTAATGGAGACAGTGCTTAGTCTCGTGCAAAGAAAGGCAGTGTTAGCCTTATGCAATAATGAAGGCAATGCTTAGCCTCATGCAATATAATGGAGACAGTGCTTAGTCTCGTGCAAAGAAAGGCAGTGTTAGCCTTATGCAATAATGAAGGCAATGCTTAGCCTCATGCAATATAATGGAGACAGTGCTTAGTCTCACGCAAAGAAAGGCAGCGTTTAGCCTTATGCAATAATGGAGGCAATATTTAGCCTCATGTAATATCATAGAGACAGTGCTTAGTCTCATGCAAGGAAAGGCAATGTTTAGCCTTATGAAATAATGGAGGCAATGCTTAGCCTCATGCAATGTAATGGAGACAGCGCTTAGTCTCATACGAGGAAAGGCAGGATTTAGCCTTATGCAATAGTGAAGGCAATGCTTAGCCCTATGCAACGTGATGGTGACAGTGCTTATTCTCATGCAAGAAAAGGCAGCGTTTAGCCTTATACAATAATGAGGGCAGTGCTTAGCTCTATGCAAAGAATGAGGGCAATGCTTAGCCCTATGCAGAAAAGGCAAAGATTAAATATGAGAGAGAAAGTGGTCCTTAGCTTGACGTTTGTGCCTGGTGGCTTCTGCCGGTGTGAAGTTAGTAGTTTTGTTATATTTTCACGGACGTGCTTGTTATGTCCGTTATACTTGTATCCAAAGAAAAATCATGAGTTTTTGGGGTGAAAGGTTGGTCTGTGCTTTTGATTCCTCATTTGACCTTTGCTCCTTGTCTTGACGTCTTGTTCGAGTCACCCTGGGTAACATATGGCTATCACAGAAATGGAATTTTCGTAAATATGCATTTGTGATAAATTACTTGTAAGGGATGCAGTTGTTCAAAATATGTGATGATGCATAAAAGAAAATAATTTTGTAGAACCATAGACTGTGACACGCTTTGAGACATTGCGGCCTTCTTAACTCGAAATTTTGAGGACCCTCCTCAAAATTCCACCCCAGTTTAAATGCAAATTCAAGACAATGCCCTTCTTGGCTACGTATTATGATGAGGCCAAACCCACAGGGCTGCCTACATATCCTCTCTTAAACGGGAATCAGGTCAAGCATAGTTTATATTACATCAAATTAAAGTGCAAATACAATCTTAAACATAATATCTCTTGATGGCGTCCGAATTGATAGGTTTTCACCATATTTCTCCATCCATCTCAAGTATAAGCGCCTCCTGTCAGTACTCGGTGGACCATGTAAGGGCCTTGTCAGTTAGGTGAGAATTTTCCTTTTGCTCCGTCCTTGTAAGGACCCGTTAAAATTTTCTAATGATTTAAGATTTTAAAGTGCGCCAGCAGTATTTGGGAATAACGTATTCGAGTATTAAAGGAGTTCTATAGGATAGAACCACGTCATTTTGAAATGAAAATATATGTTTAAGGTGTGTTGGAACATATTAAGGAGTTTTGTGAATGGGAAAAATTTGTGTGTAACAAGTTGGATACATTAAATGGAAAGGATGTTATTATGTAAACATGGTTTCATACTTATACGAAGGTTTGGAAGTCAATTTGGGTCTATATCATAAAAAGGTATCAATTGAGGGTGAGTGGAGAAGCAAGAAATGGAAAAGAAAATAACTGGGAGTGTGCTAGGGTCCGTGCACCGCGGATTGTGGCATGTCATCCCTCTCAGAAACTTTGAACAACCAGTGAAGTATAGGATTTGGCACTGGACCTGGAAAGCTACCCCACCTGAAGCCTTTTTAAGTACTCACCTTGGGGGTTCATTTCCCCCCCTTTCACTTGGACGGATTTTGGAGCTCTTCTCTACTCTCTCAAGACCACCAACTCCTCTATTCTTCAAGGTAAGCAATCCACATTGTCTTGGTGTGAAATCCTATCATTTCCACACTAGAACTAACTCAAACTACCATAAAATCCTTAGATTTTCAAGAAATTTCCTCAAGAACTCAAAATGAGGGTTTTGCAAGATTTCTTCCATATGGTAATCCTACACTCTTAGACTTATATGCATGGATTTATTATGGGAATATGAGTATTAATTAAGTATTGGAACTCATGGTATGGTGATTGGAAGCCATAATTTCCCAATTTAAATACATAACCATGGTAGAGATTGAAAGGTCATTATTTGATGGAATTTTGTTGGTTGGGTGTGGATGGATGGTCATGCATGTGAAGTTGGAAGTTATAAAATATTTAAGAATGATGGTGGGATAAATTGTTGGTAAATGGTAGTAGTTGGATGAACTAATTCTATGGCTATGAGATGTAGAGATTTATACCTACTAGGTGTTTGATAAAGTGTCGAAATGGTCTAAACTATGGAATTTGTTACTAATGATGGTCCCATTGGATGTTGATATTGTATATTGAAGTTGTTTAGTGTAGTGGATTGTTGTAGTATCATTAAGGGATGGATTTTAGGTATGTTGGCTAAACTTCCCTCTTAGAATTGAATCCAACGATGTTCTTGTAAGTCCCGAGTTGTTCATTATAAATTTACTATTCTGAATAAGTTTTGTGCCGAAAGAGATATGTTCAATATGTGTTCCGAATGCTCTTATCATGTTATGTTATCCTTCGGGAATGTGTTTAAGAATGATATATGTATTAAAATATTATGGTTTTGAATCGTGTTTCAAATGAAAGTTATGATGCCAAATTGTGTGAGAAAAACTTGATGTGCTTAAGACTCTTAATTGCTCATATGTGTACCAAAAGTCTTTATTAGAAATGCCTTGTTGTTGATAACCTATAAAGATGATGGAAAGTGAAAGAAGTGGGTAGGAGATGTAAAGTGTGGCCACCGTGCCAATAATGAAAGTTATACTTGTGGCCAATGGTGTCAATGAAATGAAATGATGTGAGAAAGGTTATAAAATGAGCCTTGATTCAACTGTTCCAAAATGACTTCAAAAATAGATTTGCCTAAAAGCTTATGTACTCAAGTCATGCCCAAATGTGATTGTTTTAACTAATGTTATGCTTTGTAAGTATTTCCAAGGTGTTTTGAGTTCTTACATATTCATGAGTTGAAGTTGTGTATTGCTCTTTTTGGGAAAAAGTATTTCAAGGATAAATGGTATGTCAATCATTTATGATTTTTACTTGCGCTTCGATTTCTAATTATCTTGCTCCATTTTATTTTTGGAAAGGAATCTATTGTGTTTAAAGCCTTCATTACTAATGGACTTAAAGTCGTGATTTCCGGAATATTCTATATGTTGATGTTTATGAGGATGATACTTGAAAGTAAAGAAATGAAAGTGTGGAATATGAGATACGGCCATCGTGCCATGAATGAAGAATCATATGTATGGCCAAGAAAGCCAATGAAATAATTATTTTGTAAGTGGTTTAAAGTACGAATAAAGTGCTATATGGTGTGAAAGGTTATGAGATGAACGTATTTGTATTTTTGTTTCCAATTTGTTATAGGCTCCTACATTCTCATGAGTAAAGGCTATGGTGTTCCTAAATATTTTACATGCTCTTATGTTCTATGGTCACCCATGGCAAGAAAAAAGAAGTGATAGTATGAACATGAAAAGTGGCCGCTTGCCAAAATGAGAATTATGAGGCATTATATGTTCCAATAGGTTTCAATAATAGTACGTATGCTTCAAAAATAATAAATGCAAATGACCTCGATGTTAAGTCCCCAAGAATCATGAACTTAGCTAATAACATTAAGATGACAAGCAAGTGAATAATGAGATGAAAGGGAGATGTCCTATGCTAAATGATGATGAACCTTAAGAAAAGAAATTGGGCCCATGTGCCATTGAAATCGACTTATTGATTCACCATGCATGTGCTAACATAAGGCGATATTTTTCTCCATGATGAGCATGAACATGAAGTATTTCAATGATCCGAGAACCTACGACCTTAAATGTAATGTTAATCATATCGCTTTGAGTTTATATATGATCATGTGCATAATGAGGTGTTATGTGAACCCTATGGACGGTATATGAAACACATAGGTGTATTGTATATGTAATCCTATGGACGTCTATGAAACACATAGGTGTATTGTATATGTAATCCTATGGACGGTCTATGAAACACATAAGTGTATTGTATATGTAATCCTATGGACGGTCTATGAAACGCATATGTGTATGGTATGAATAAACACTATGGACGGTCTATGAAACGCATATATGAACGGTATGGATGAACACGTGTATAGTAAGAGAGGATTGTGGACGGTCTGGTGAGGCGCGTAGCCAATATGAACAATAGATGCCACTTTCATTGCCCTTATTTGTGCATATTGTTACATTTACATTATATTTTGTATCCCACGCATAGTTCATATGGCACACTTGATCCCAAAAGAAGTTAAGAATAAAGTAAGTATAATAAGACTTGAAATGTGACTCTATGGGTCGTTTATAGTTTCTTGATGTGCTTTATTTGCCTCTTATTTGAGTTACCGTATTTTCATATGTTGTTTTGTCTGCCTTACATACGAGTACTATTCCACATGTACTCACGTCCCTTTTTGCCGGGGGCGCTGAATCTTTTAATGGATGCAAGTATACTTCTACATGATGATATGGATCTTTGATAGGGATCTTCTTCACTACTCAACTTATGGTAAGCCCGCTACAGTTCTAGTGAGTGTTTGGGTCTAGTTCGTTTTATTTATTTAGGTATCTATTGTCATAGAAGCTCCATGTACACTGTGGGTCATGTAATTAAAGTTTTAAGTTTTGTCATGTACTTATGTTCACAGTATTTACAGCTATTTATAAAGTTGTGTACCCATCATGAGAAAGAATTTTAGGCCATTGAGCCAAATGTATTCAATTTAAAAGTCAAGATCTAATTATATTATGGTAAATCATGCATGAGTAAAGATAGGAGGTTGATGTAAAGTAGGCTTGCTCGACTAAGTTTACTCGGTTGAGCGCAGGTCGCGCTCCCCGAGGTCGGGGCATGACAATCCTAATGCGGGAAGATCCACTTTAACACCAATTTCCCTGGTGTGAATTGCCTCGATCTAACCTTCTTATTGAAAGCCCTTGCCATTCTATTCCGATAGAGTTGATCGTGACACACTGTGTTCATCCTCTTACCATCAATGAGAGCCAGTTGCTCATACAAGCTTTGTATCCATTCCGCATCACTGAGCTCGGCCTCATGTATGATTCTTAGGGAAGGAATCTTCACCTCGGTGGGTATAACGGCTTTAGTACCGTAAACCGGTAGATATGGAGTTGCCCCAGTTGACGTGTGAACTGTGGTGCGGTACCTGAGCAGAGAAAATGGTAGCTTCTCATGCCATTGCTTATAGTTGTACACCATCTTCCTTAATATCTTCTTGATGTTCTTGTTGGTGGCTTCCACGACTTCATTCATTTGCGGCCTATATGCTGTAAACTTCCGGTGCTTGATCGTGAATGTTTCGTACATAGCTTTCATCAGATCACTGTTGAGATTGGCGGCATTGTCGGTAATGATTGACTAAGGTACTCCGAATCGACAAACAATACGATCTCGAATAAAATTTGCTACGACCTTCTTGGTCATAACTTTATAAGAAACGGCTTTGACACATTTAGTGAAGCAATCTATAGCCACCAAAATGAATCTTTGTACGGTTGAAGTAGTGGGTTCAATTGGTCTGATGACGTCCATACCCCAGGCAGAGAAAGTGTCACGCCTCGAACTTGGGGAGCGCGACCGTCGCTCAACCTAGTGAACCTGGTCAAGCAAGCATGTTTGATACTTTCTACCTAAACTCACTTATGAATAAAGATAATACATATTTTCGTTAATTATACAATAAAGAGATCATGTATACAATACCAATTCATTACCATTAGTTACTTTATTTTAAAGTCTCAAATTACACACATTTTTATGGTCTGAAGTGGAACAAGTAATTCAAACACAACATAACTTGTTTGACTTCCCCAACACTAATATACAACCCACACTATGTCTACGGAGTCTATAATAGATACAAAAGAGTATTATGATAGTGCGGGCAACAAGGCCCCGACTATACCTCAAACACAATACACACGGAACAAAAGATACATGACCCCGAAATGAAGTGGGGCTCACCAAGTCAGCTGGGAAGAGGGTGTACCGCTATCACTAATCAATGTCTCCTGCTGTGGAACCACTTGCATCCATTGAAGATGCAACTCCCCCGACAAAAGGGATGTTAGTATATGTGGAATAGTACTAGTATGAATGACAAAACACCCTCTCAATAGAACGATTAATAATACAAGCAAAAACAATCATAATATCAGTGGAAGCCTCAAACAACATCAAACCTCAAGTTAGGGCCAAGACAGTGTTCAAATAAATTTCCATATTTTAAGTTGGGAGACCTTTAGTACCAATATGCCACCATTCACAATACCACCATACTTTTAGCACGGTGTCTGATCACGACCCGATCGGATAGGCCGTCTCATCCGAGACATCAACCATAGTCACAATTTTAATTATAATTTCCAGCACAATCACCACCATGTGTGCGGCATGGCATCCGATCACGACCCGATCGGCTAGGCCGTCTCACCACATTGATGTGTGAATCGACATCACCCTTTTCTACCAATCAACTCGTTTCATACTTCTTTCACATCTTTTTATTTCATTGGCACTAGTGGCCACAATTAAAAAATTATTTTTGGCACGTTGGCCATATTTAGTATTTTATGCTCACCTTTTTTACTTTCAAACATCATCATCATCAATAACACAAGGCATTTCAAATAAATGTTTTTAGTACACATGTGAGCAATTAAGAGTCTTAGGCACATAAAGATGTTTCATAAAATTTGGCATAATAGCCTTCGTTTGAATTTGACTTGAAGTCAAAACATTTTTAATGCACAGACCATACTTTGAACACATTCTCAAATGATAACATAACATGATAAAAGCATTTGGGGATACATATGGAACATATATCTTTCAACACAAGCTTATTCGGAATAGCCAATTTTATAATGAACAACTCGGGACTTACATAAGTTACATGAATACCGTGGGATTCAATTCTAATAGAGGAGTTTAGCCAACATACCTAACTTGAGTTTTCCTTAGCTTACCACAACGTCCCAACAATTCTAGCAATTCCAATCAACTAGAGATATAATAAAATTGGACCATAATTAGGGAGAGATTCATGATTTCAGCTCATTTGAGCATTTTATCAAACACTAGATGTGCAAATTGGTTACAAGGTTCTTCCACAAGATTTCTTTCACTTCACAACCCAATATTTACCCATTTGGGCTCAACAATCTTTCCACAAACCTTATTGGTACATGCATGTATACATAATACCCTCACACCCAAGAATCATACTCTCAATCACCCATCTTTTATCCCGAACTCGAAATTGAAGACTAGGGTTAGAACCTTACCTCTTGAGTGAAGATCTTGTGAGATTTCCTTGTTGGATTTCAAAGATTTGGACAAGATCTTGATGAACAAAGCACTTGAGCTTCTCCCTCTCTCTAAAACATTCTCACTCCTCGATAAAAATATCACATTTTTGCCTTCAAAATGAGCCCTAAAGGTTATTTATCAAAATGGGATCGAGTTATAAAAATCAGAAAATGGACCCTCCAATTCCAAGTCTGCAATCGCAGAGTTCATGTGCGGCCCACAAAAAGGACCGCAAAATTGATCTCCAAAAACTAGGTTATTTCGGGTTGGGTCTGCGGCCCGCGGACCTGTTCTGCGGTCGCATAATGCACCACAGAACTTCCCTACAAAAATCTCCATTATTATTCTGCGATGTATTATGCGGTCTGCGAAACGATTATGCGACCGCATAAATGTCCTAAAATTAACTCAAGTTTTTGCTTCACTCTGCGACGCTTATGCTGCTCGCGAAAATGTTCTACGGTCGCAAAATAGACCGCAAAATTGCCTTCTTCTTCCAAAAACGTTTCTTCAACAATTTAGTACAATCATCAACATATAAGTCTATCTTAGCACCACAAAATCCCGAATTTTTGGTAAGATGTTACGGGGCCTTACAGAAAGGCCATCGTGAACTCGTTGCGTTGAGTTTGCTGGGTGGCACCCATATCATATCAGTATGTATTTGGCATTGGTGGCACTTTTGAGAATATTTGATGTAGTCTATCTCCATAGTCATCCAGAAATACCCTGCCCTTAATATTTTTTTGGCCAGAACAAACCTGTTCATGTGAGGTCCGTAGGTTCCGGCGTGTATCTCTTCGAGCAGCCTAGATTCCTCCTTGGCATCGACACATCGTAGTAATCCCAAGTCAGGAGTCCTTCTATACAGAATTACTCCGCTCTGAAATAAGTGGTTGGCCAATCTTCGAAGCATGCACTTCTGAGTGTGTGTAGCATTTCCTGGGTATTCTCCTTTCTACAAATACTCCTTGATATCGTGAAATCATGGATTTCCATCAAACTATTCTTCAACATGAGCAAAATAAGCTGGTTGCTTACGAATCTCTATCGGAATAGGATCAACGAAATTCTTGTCTGGACGTTGTATCATGGAAGACAAGGTAGCCAGTGCATCTGCGAACTCGTTCTGAATTCTCGGAACGTGTTTGAATTCTATCTTTGTGAACCTCTTGATCAAATCTTGCACACAATGCAAGTATGGCAATACTTTAGTATTCTTGGTAACCCATTCTCCAAGTACTTGATGTACCAGCATATCTGATTTTTCGATTACCAGTAACTCCTGAATATTCATGTCGTTAGCCAATTTGAGTCCCAAGGCAAGCCTCATATTCTGCTATATTGTTAGTGTATGGGAACCTGAGCTTTGCGGATACCAGGTAGTGTTAACCGATTTCTGATACCAAAACAGCTCTGATGCCCACTCCTTTGAAGTTTGCAGCTCCGTCGTAAAACATCCTCCAACAATAATATGTTTCAGCAATATCTCCTCCTACAAACGTCACTTCATTGTCGGGAAAATACGTCTTCAATGGTTTGTATTCTCCATCTATGGGATTCTCTGCCAGGTGATCGGCCAATGTTTGCCCCTTGACCGCCTTTTGAGTCACATAGATGATATCGAACTCACTTAGCAATATCTGCCACTTTGCTAGCTTACCCGTAGGCATGGGTTTCTGAAAGATGTATTTCAGCGGATCCATCCTCGATATGAGATATGTGGTGTATGCGCAGAAGTAGTTTCTCAATTTCTGAGTTATCCATGTCAAGGAACAACAGGTGCATTCTAACAAAGAGTATCAGGCTTCGTAAGGTGTGAACTTCGTACTCAGATAGTATATCACATGCTCTATTCTCCCGGTTTCATCATGTTGCCCCAGGACGTAACCAAAAGCTCCATCCAACAAGGATAGGTACAACAGTAAAGGTCTTCCGGGCTCTGGTGGGACCAAGACGGGCGGGTTAGACAAGTACTCCTTGATTTTATCGAAAGCCTTTTGACATTCTTCGGTCTAGCTCGTCGCAACATCTTTCCTCAGCATTTTGAAGATCGATTCACATATCATCGTTGACTGTGCTATGAAACGACTGATATAATAGAGGCGTCCCAGAAAAGTCATCACATCCTTCTTGTTCTTTGGCGGTGAAAAGTCCTAAATAGCTTTGATTTTTAATAGGTCTAGCTCAATACTACGGTGACTGATGATGAGACCCAGCAACTTCCCAGCGGTTACTCCGAAAGCATATTTTGCAGGATTTAGCTTCAGATTATATTTTCAAAGCCGATCGAAAAACTTCCTCAACTCTGCTATGTGATCCGAACTCCTCTTAGATTTGATGATGACGTCATCCACGTACACCTCTATTTCCTTGTGTATCATATCGTGAAAAAGAGTAGTCATGGCTCTCATGTAGGTTGCCCTGGCGTTCTTCAAGCCAAATAGCATCATTTTGTAGAAATCCCCATAGCTTGATGAAGGCTATCTTTTCGGCATCCTCTTCATCCATCCAAATATGGTGATATCATGCGAAATAATCCACAGAGGATTAGAGTTCATGCTTGGCTCAGTTGTCGATCAATATGTGTATGTTGGGCAACGGGAAATCATCCTTAGGACTTGCTCTGTTCAGATCTCGATAGTCAACACACACTGACTTTCCCATCCTTCTTTGGAACCAGCACAATGTTGGCTAACCAAGTTGGGTACTCGACCACTCAAAGGACCTTGTCTTTGATTTGCTTGGTGACCTCTTCCTTTATCTTCATACTCATATCTGATTTGAATTTTCTGAGCTTCTGCTTTACCGACGGACACATGGGGTTGTTAGGTAGCTTGTGAGCCACTATGGATGTGCTTAACCCAGTCATGTCGTCGTAAGACCATGCGAAAATATCCTCATATTCCTTTAGAAACCTAATGTACTCTTCCTTCTCTGATGACGATAGATGAATGCTAATGTAAGTTTCTTTGACTATTTCAGAATCCCCTAAG